AGATAAGATAAATGGCATGTTATGAACATAGCTGGATCCTTGCTTATGGTTTCACAGCTGAGTTTAAGCGCTTTTCACAGTGCACACACCTCTGCATTTCTCTTAGGTCATTATAGAGCGCTGCTTTCTTCCTTTCACAGTCTTATGTTGTGATAGGAAAAGCATGTGTTTTGACATTAATTAGATTTTAATCCTGTCCCTAGGGTTGTGTCTGAGTAAGTTACTAGGCTTGAGTTTCCTCAACTGTAAAATGAGAGTATTACTCAGGCTTGGAGTAAGAACTCACTGAAGTGTGTGTGTGCTGCCGTGAAGTGAGAAGTCGTTTGTGTCCCTTCGCTCTCCCTTGTCGCTTTGTTAACGAGCACTTGTGGGACTTCCCTGGCAGTCCGGTAGTTTAGACTGCGCTCTTCCACTGCAGGGGTCACGGGTTCAGTTCCTAGTGGGGGGCTGAGACGTGCATGCTGCACAGTGTGGCCGAAGGATAATTAATGTTTTAAATGACATTTCTATTGAGAAGAAAGACAGCAGTAGTCAAAGTGTAATAGCAAAGAAATTTGCACGATTTTTATCTTAAACAGTAGTCATGATGTCTCTCTCCACATTAATAAAGAAAAATTTTGATTTCTCATAAGGAATTTTTCTTAAATATGAGATCAAGTTAAGCCTAACTTTGCCTTCACTGGTTTTAATTTTTAGAGAGGAAAGACGGGATGATTTGCAGTCACTGAGCTGAGAGCATGGATGAAAGAGTTAGCCTATTAAGAAGGATGCAGATGTAAGACACTTGTGAAGACGGAGCGGAGTCTCCTATCTGGCCCCTTGTCTTCTCAGTGAGGTTGCAAGTAATCTAATGTGATAAGAGGAAGCAGGCCTGGGGAGGAAATCTGTGGTGGGAAACCAAAGACGAACAGCGTGGAAATCCATCCTACACTGATTCTTAAGTTTTACTTTTCTTAAGAATGTGATTGTAATTTACTTTATTTAGAGCACTATCAAGGTTCTTTTGGGAGCCACAATTCCAAGAAATGAACATTCATTATATTAAAAAGTAATAGTCATTCTTGTGTTTTTTTCTCACAGTTCTATATTTCTGTCCATTCCCTCAGTACCCCAATTTTTTTTTCATCTAATAAATGCTAATCCACTTATGACTTTATTCTAAAAGAGTGACCCATAGTAAACAGAAAGTTTCTTTGTGAAAATTATCCCCTTTTGTAGCACTGTATAGTTTATCAGAATAGTTACAGAGTGTTAGGAAGCCGTCTCGTAAGGAACTTAAGTTTGGAAACTGGTTATTAATCACCCAGTTATAGTGTGGTGAATGCAATAAGAAAGAAAACAAGGTCTAATACTGTAACATTAGATCAAGGAAGCAAATAAAAGTATTCATTCTGCTGCAGCTAATCATTCTCATTTTAAAAGAACATAAACCCCAGACTTTGAACACAATAGGAAACAGCTTATTACCCTCATTGGTCCATGTCCTGGGATCTTCAGATAGAATACCCCCCTGTTGTTTCCATTTAAAGCTACCATGTTGATGCTTGCTTGCTTAGTCGCTGTGAGCCACCAGGCTCCTCTGTCCACAGGATCTCGCAGGCAGGAATACTGGAGTGAGCTCCCATTTCCATGTCCAGGGTATCGAACCCAAGTCTCCTGTATTGCAGGCAGATTCTTCACCACTGAGCCACTTGGGAAGCCCGTTTTGTATCTTTATTTTTAAAGCAGTGGTTCCCAAACTTTAGTTTTTTTCATATCAGCTGGAGGAGTTATTAAAATAGATTTTTTTGAATCCCACCTCAAAAGTAGGTATGAGTGGACCCGAAGATGTGTGTTTCTAACAAGTTCCCAGATTATGCTGATGCTGCTGGTCCAGGGACCACAACACTGAGAACTACTGATTTATTTAAATTCAAAAAAATATAATGGCTTCCTAATATGAACCAGTAATTGTTTCTAGTATATTCAGTAACTGTTGTCATATTGACTCTTTCTGTACACACCGAGTTTCTATGTGCCAAGCACTGTTCTCTTCACAGAGGTGAAGATGATAATGGACCTCACTCAAAGAGTTCAGTCTGATAGAGCTAACAGTGGTAGTATTATTTAAAGTCACTTAATCCTCACAGGAGTTTTGTGAATTGGGGTTTATAATCCTTGCTCCTTGCTCAGTCACCTCCGACTCTGCAACCCTATGGACAGTAGCCCGCCAGGCTCCTCTGTCCATGGGATTTCCCAGGCAGGAATCCTGAAGATACCATCCTTATTTTAGGTTTTAAAAAAAAAAAGCTGAGATCTAAGAAGGTTAAATAATTTCCTAGAATTCACAGTGAGTATATAGAGCGGCCAGAATTTCATGGTTATGCACTGTAAAAAGTTTGTGATTATTTTAGTGAAACCACAAAAGGGATGGAATATTGGTTCACCTTAGGAAACTAGAAGGCATTCCAGAAGAGATGGCAGTGAGCATCTTAAGAAACAGTCACAGAAAGCCAGGTGAATTGGAATTGAGCCTTTGCCACTGCGGAAGAGTTTCTGCAAAGCCTTGGGAACCTGAGAGGATACACACAGACAATACATTCCTCAGATTGCAGCCAGCTATGTCAGACACAGGATGCCAAACAGAATATGAGAGAGGGTATGGTGGAAGACACAGGTCAAGCTTGTGCAGGGTTTTGTGTACCAGGCTAAGAAATTTTTTAAATAGATTTTTTAAAAACTATTTCCCTTCTAGCTTTCATCTCTGTAAGCCAGTGGTTCTCAGAAGTATGGTTTGTCAGGCAGCAGAATCAGCATCACCTAGAACTTGTTAGAAATGCTGCATAGTTTCTGGGCCCCATCCCAGACCTACTGAACCTGAAACTGAGGAGGAACCCAGCAATCTGTTTTTTAACAAGACATACAGATGACTGGTGCAGTGGTAAAGTTTGAGAACCTCTGCAATAGGTTATAGTATTCTTGGTAACAGCCTTCAAAGTGGCCAAAGGTGAATAGTGATAGTAATTGTATCTGTGACTGACCTGATTCTGTTAAAGTACAATATTTAACAAAATTGAAATAATACCTTCTAAAGGGCACATACCTTCAGTATGATCCTATTTAATTTACACTCTGCAAGCCTGTTCCTCTGTAGCAATAAAAGATATATAAGTCAGGATTGGAGGTTATTTTATCAACAAAGAGTAGGATGCTAATTATTGTTCCTTAGCTGAGGGAATGGTTTGGAAACTGACTAGGTTTTATTTTAATTATCAGAAAAGAAGAAATCTTTCAAGAGTTTGAGATTTATGTAGATTTTTGTTTGCTCATTAGTATGTAAAACTGATATTAAAGTTAGCATTTAAAGTTAGCATTCTATTTAAAATTGATAGGTTAAAAGAATTGATTGTATTTAAGTCATGAAATTATTTCAGTTGTCCCTTGATACAGAATAAAAAAGTATAATCCAGGATTCTCAGGCAAATTCTAATCTAAATGTCTCTTACCATCTTTTTTGCCAAATTATGGCCAGTATTGGTGACTATCCATATGGTGTCTGAACTGAACTTTACACTAAAGATTATATAGTTCTGTAGTTTATAGTTACATGAATCCATACTTAGTCTCTACAATCCTTTAAAGCCTAATATATATAAGTATTAATGATCTATATATCCTTTCCAGTTATTAGGTATACAGAAGCTCCTTAGCAATAGCAGGAAGTGAAGTAGTATGCTGTATTTAATATTGTTAATGCTCAGATAAACAAGCTTAGTGTTTTCCATGCATTGACTCAGAGTTTAGAGGATTAAAAAGTTCAAAGGCCACTGAGGCATAGATACCAGCCCCTTCATTTTACAGATGAGGAAACTGAGGCCCGAGGAAGCTAAATAGATGATTTACTGATGTGTAGGTAGTGAGTAACAAAACCAGGATTGTAATCATATCTACCTAGATTACAATATAAAAGGCACCACTATATCAGATAGGATATTTCTGAGCCTCAGTCTAATATAACATTGAACGTCCCCATCATCTAAAGTAAAATAGTCTTCAGATATATTAGGACCTAAATTTATCACTAAATACTAAATGAAGAGTGTGCAATAAAGTTTTATACAAAAATAATTTAAAGACCTTTTTCTGTATTGATACAGTAGATTAATATATCAGATTTATATTTATAAGAAAAATCTAATAACTGTTCTTTAAAGTTTACAAAAACACCAACAAAAGGATATAGGTCTTTGCTATATACATAGGAAAATATAAACTGCCAAAGAGGATGATTATTCAGCCTTCTGTGTCATTATCATATAAATGCTAAAATGATCATTGAACTTGAGATATACGTACCAGCTAGACTGTTTCCAATTATTTCTAGGAAAAATTGGTCTAAACCACATGCCTTAGTTGGTGATTTTTGCCAGGTAGCAAGCTACAGTCAAAGCATGTGGGTCTGCCAAGACGGTGGAGTTCCTCGTTAACCAGCCCTCCAAGTACCGTTTGCCCAAAGCCCTCTGAATCATTTTTACAAGCCAGTTTTTGAAATTTAAAAACCAGATATTAAAAATATAAAAATCTATAGAAGAGAGGTAATCATCTGAATTTACTGCAATAAGAAACCACTAAAATTTTTGCAGGAAAGTTAATTCGACTATATAGTTAGTAAATGAAGAGATGTGGAGCGGATACTGCTCATTTGAAATATATCTTAAGGTGACTGAATTGAGAACTCCTGAATAGAACTGGGAGTTAATGTTTAAAGTAGCATATATATTTCATAGGCAACTTGGAAACATTGAAACTACAAAGGATTTTTAGAAGTCATCTATTTACTGAGATCCTCATTTTCAAAGTGAGAGCTCTGAGTATGAAATTCTGAAAATAGGCTAATAGTCTATTTTAAATTACTATTTTGGTTTTAAGTAAAACACAAATGTTTTTATTTACTTTAAGAGTTGGAAGGGAGCTTACATTTTTTTTAGAATAATTTAATGAAATATTCTGATTTTTTCCAGTGCATCTGGGGGAGGTGGTGTAGCCATTGACAACAAAATAGAACAAGCAATGGTAAGTAAAAATTTATAGTCTTCTCATTTCATACATTCTTGGGTTTTATCAGTCCTAAAAAACAAGTATCTAATTTCTTTAAGCCAAGATAACCAAAGTATATTTTTCAATAAGAAGATTTAGTTGAAAATGCTAAAACATTGAGAATTTTTAGTCTAGAAATACCACTGGAGTAAACACTTTTCCTACTTGAACATCTTACATTTCATGTTATGCTATTGATAAGGACCATTTTGGGGGGTGTATATAATCAACATGCATTTGATCCCCTAAATATCTCAGCATCAAGAATAATTTAGAGACCTGGACTTCTGGTGGTCCAGTGGACAGAGTTACTCAGCTTTAAATGAACAGTCTTGTTTCTGTTGACTCTGGTTCTGATTTCTGCTGTTACTATCAGTTTTTCTGTTTTTCTTAAAGATTTACTCAACATTCTTAAAAATATTTTGGTTCAAGTTATTAAAATCATAAATAGGTTGTAAATAAAGGCCATTAGTCGGCTTTTTTTTTTAATCCTAAGATTTTGAAGTTGGAAATTTCAGGTCACTTTACTTCTTAAAGCATTACTACAACTAGTTTAATATTAGTTTCATTTCCTTTGTTCTCTTCATCTGACATCTTAAGTATATGATTTTAAACTTTTTTTTAATTCTAAGCTTTATTAATTGACAATTTAAGGAGCTGTTTTTTTGTGTTTTTTTTTTAAATCACTCTCAACTTTGAAAAGAAAATTCCGGACTGCTGCCCCAGTTAGAAACTAGATTTTTCCCACCCCATCTTCCTCGGGGTCTGTCAGGAAACAGTAGAAACATAAAAAGCAAGAGCAGGAAAATTAGCATAAAATCATTTTGTGTTTATAAGGAGAACCAGATAGCAGCTCCTTCCTCTTTCACTCTTTTTGACATTCCTCATTTTGTTTTTCACAGGATCTGGTGAAAAGCCATTTGATGTATGCAGTAAGAGAAGAAGTGGAAGTTCTAAAGGAACAAATAAAAGAATTAGTTGAAAGAAACTCTTTACTTGAACGAGAAAATGCACTGTTAAAATCTCTTTCAAACAATGATCAGCTATCCCAGCTCCCAGCGCAACAGGCCAATCCTGGCAGTACTTCGCAGCCGCAAGCAGTGATGGCGCAGCCTCCGCAGCCAGCACAGCCTCCGCAGCAGCCGAATGTCTCCTCCGCATAAAGCTTCTCGCCTCATTAAGAAAAACTGAAAGCAATCTACCCTTGTGTGCCACTGGTGTTCTTTCCACTTTATACGACAGCAAGTAGCCATGCTTCGGTTGTGTGTTTGGCCCTTTCAGTATTAGACAATCATTCTGCAGGAGCTTTCCTCTCTGAGATGTCACGCGGCGCTGTTGGTGTCCAGTTCTGGCATCAGTGCACAGGAGAGTGACGGGTGGTGTGCATTAGAGCGGGCAGTTTGCGCTTTACCTGGTGCGCGCGAGTGGGGTCGTTCAGAGCTCTGGCGGCTCTCCCGTGTTTCCTGTCACCCATGGATTTACCCTGAGCCTTCCTCTCACTTTATAAATAACAGTTCATCTAAAGAGCCACTTTTCTTTCAATATCAGTAACATTTGCCTACATAAGTTTTCATTTATTTGTGTTTTATTTATTACAGGGCTGCTATTTTCATAATGTACATGAACAATGTCACAGAACTTTTTTAATTTTTTTGAATAATTATAAGTATCAGTAAAGGAATTGAAAGACAGGATTGCATTTAATAGATAAAACGTTTAGGCAATAATTGAACAAAAGAATCCTGGCATATTTCTAACACTAATGGCAATTTACCTTCGGTATTTATTTTCAGTAGTAAAGACCCAGCTTGAATGTAAATTTTGTATAGTGTAAGTATGAAGACATAGTGCAACTGTACAGGTAGTCACCAGTTATTGTGATATAATAAATAATTGGGCTATTTTGATGAAGAAAACTTTGTTCATTTGTTTCTACTTTCTAATAGAGAAATTGCCACGATTCCTCTGCTTTTTGACATTTCGTATGACTTTTTTCGGGTGGGAATAAAAAGCTGTGAAATTGTTCAACCTACTTTGTAACCAAAGAAGCAAAGCTGTGTAATGGAGTTTTGTTTTTGTTTTTGTTTTTTTTTTTTTATAATGCACATTCTTTATGTATTTTTATTTAGTGTTTTCTCGGTCACAATTTTCTTTTGCTGTCTAGCATGATCTGCATGACCTATAATCTTTGAACCACTTTCGTACCTCATGTTTTTATCCAGCACTCTTATTGTAATATGTACTAGTCTGTGAACAATGTCAAATAAAAAAGAACGAACAGGTAGTGTGGTGGAGCTGAGCTAGTGTATTATACACTAGTTGTAAAAATAAAAATGAAGTGAGCCATCTTTTGTTCATTTAAAATGGTGTTTTGAATTTCGTATGCAGAAAACGTTTTGTTACATTGCAGATTTTAATGTATTTAATAAATGCAACATGCAGATTAAGTGCAGTGTATACTGAGTATTTAAATTAAAATGTACATTTCATAAATACAGTTTCAAGAGAAAGCATCATTTTGTGTATACTAACACATTAAGTGTATGTCAGAAATTGATGTATAAATATATATTTTAACACATTTTCTGAAATTAAACTGCAGTTTTGTTGAAATATTTGGCTCTATATGTGTTCAAAATTTAATTTGATTAGATTTGTATTTTCACAGTTCCAAATATTCCTTCAATGAAAACCTGTTACTAATGACTTAAGGATGGTTCTTAAATCTTCAAGGTAAAATAATTTAGAGAATGCAAGAACAGTGAGCAATATTTGTACTCGATATTCATATGTCAATGACATTTAAATAGGAAATCCTTGTCTACCAAAACTTTTACTTGAATTCAGAAAGGTGCCTGTAGAAATTAACATGCTCTATATCTATAGCCAACTAGCTAATCAGGAGTTATTGAGAATCGATAATTAGCTCTCTGCATTAAAAGAAGATAAATGTTCTTTATTTAAAATAAAAACTTAAGCCACAAACTAAATTCATAAAATCAGATTCATAAAATAACTTCCAATTGTTTTATATTCTAGTTACGCTGCAGGATATATTCACTAAAAATAGAATTTTAATGTTAATAGAAATAACTAAAGGAACTTAAGTGCTTAGGCTTGAAGAAGCAACCTGAAGATACGGAGTAAGTTGCTAAGTGGAGTTGTACCAGATGAGCTAGAAAGTGAAACTTCCGTGTTGGAATGTTTACCAAAAGGCTCGCGGGTGTGCCCCTGAAGAGCGAACAGTATATTTAATACAGGGGGAGAAAAACTAGTATTAGAAAAGGTTGGGATTTTTGTGAAAATATCAATTTTGGTGTTGGGAGTAGAAAAACAGTATAATTCCTAAGTAATAGTCACGAAATGATTACTATGTTTAAAATGATAATTAAAAGCAATTATTACTATTACATTTTTTAAAAATCAGTAGAATACATGAATAGTTCGCAGAAGAAATAAATGGCAGTTTCTAAGGGTTCAACCTCTAGTAATCTAAGAAATACAAATTACTAGTTAACAAAATTATTTGTCTTTAAATAGCAGGACCTAATGTAGAAAGGCAAGCTTCCTGTGAACGTCTAAAAAGTAAGTTGGCAAAAATGTACTGCACCTTAAATATTAACAAACTTTTCAATTTAATGACATGAGAAGTTAACTAATGGTGCCATGCTCAAAAAATGCAAAACTATAGTAGTGCCTGTGGTTTCCCCCCAACTCCCCAGCCTCCCCTTTGGACCTGTGAAAGGAAGCCTGTTCATCCACGCCTACTCTCGTGAGTCCCCTGCTCCAGAGTCAGGGACAACAACTTAGGCTGCAAAAGCTATATGCGTGTCTGCGTTAGGTAGACTGTATTTTAAAACAACATCAAGCATTCCTCTGGTTGATTCAACCTTTAAATTTCAGTTTTACCTCTGATATTTAGGGTCTCCAGCTACACACATAGCTGGAACATTAATTTACTAAGATGCCAGTTTAGGAGCACAGTCTTTGTATGAATGCCATCTGTAATTTTCTCAGTGAAATGTTCGTAGGCCAGGGTACCACGAAAGTTTTGTTTATTTACTTTAGCCAACTGCAAAATCATAGGACATTTTGTTTCTGATATGGCAATGTGTACAAACTTTATTGCCCTCCTCCAAAAAAATTAGCTACAATGTGATTTTATAGCTTGCTCTACCACCCACCCCCCACAAAAAGGGGTTGTGAGATGGTTATTTTAACTCATAATTTTTTTGTCCAAAAAAAGCTGGATATTGCCAATTCTATTTCCAGTGTTCTGAACTAAGCATAGTATAAAGACAGGAATGCTTTATCATCAAGCCCTCAATGATGGATAATTAAAACATTATTCTGTCATGGGTCAGAGATGAGGGTATTTCTCCAAGTTTCAAACACTAGTCACTTCTGGACCTTTAAAAAAAAAAAAAATGGAAGGGGGAAAAGGGGTGCAATGTACTTAGAATTATAGTTACCAAAATATCAATTCATGAAAATTCTTCCTTGTAGAACCAGAATTAAAATATCACTGAATTTTTTGGAAGCACATTTTTAAGATGGTCTTTTTCTTCGGGAAGTTATAAGCTCAGTGGCAGGCACTTTGTGATGTGACTCAATTCTCTTTAATAATCTTTTGAAAAGGACAAAGCCCACCCCTCAACATTCAGAGTTTTGTTAAGGATATAGATAAACCAAGAGATACAGTGGCAATAATAAAGATCTGTTATGCACCATCAAGGATGGCTTTGTTAGGGAAGACTTCCTCAAAAGAGGTGACACCCGAGTCTTGAAGGTCACAAAAGTAAAACAGTGCTCAAAGGAGAGTATAAGCAAGGCTTGGGTAGCTACAGAACTGTTGCTTCCTAGGAGGCAGGCAGGCAATGACTGCCTCACTCACTCGGGTAGTCTGGCATCAGTTAGTAAAGCAGGAATGATTTAGTGAATTTAAGCAATGGGATTGTAATCAGTTTCATTTCAGGAAAATTAATCATTCCAGCAGTACATAAGAGGTCGGGGGCCAAAACTAGAAGCTGACAGATAATTTAGGAAGGACAAGAGTATTACGTGAAAGAAATGATGGATAGGCAAAATTACATAGGCAGTCTCCTGAGATTCATGAAGAAGGTTGGTCATGAGTCTGTCTGTATCATCTTTGCCTCCATGATGAACATTCCACTTCCAGCCTCAGGTGCCTCTTGCTCCAAGGAAAGATGAGAGAGAACTCTTAAGTCTTAGAAAGTTTGTGTAAGACTTTTGCTTCCATATATCTCTATGAAATGAAAGTCTTTGTTTCCTGTTTAAGGAATTTCAAGAATTTAAGTAAAGGGTAGAAGGACTAGATGAACCTTGGCTGTCTTTTAACGCCTGTGTGTAAATCTAGTCCTAAAGGTAAGCCAAATTTAGCCCTTTTATAGTGACTAGGGGTTAGAGTGGCCCAGAAGGATGCATTCAAGGTCTGTCCCTCAGAGCTCTCTCTTCCTCCCCAGAAAGGATAATGTGGGTTCTACCTCCATTGCAGACGGTTGACAACCCAAATCAGAAGGGGTTCTGCTAGGCTGTAGCCGTTCATTCTTTGACAGAGTTCAGTTCAGGTTCCTTTCTGCCCTATGAGCCCCTGCCTAAGCAAAACTGGACATTTTCTTCCACCTCCTCCTGGCTAGTAATCCATGTTTCTATATTCTAGCATTACTAATAGTTTATTACTTAGAGATGTATATTTGCATCCTATTTTTTCCCTTTTTGACTTTCCAGAGTGCAGTCTGGTTTCCTTTATTTCTCTTAGCAGGGCACAGAATTTTTATGGTAAGATCAGCTCTTTATAAGCGTGTATTCCTTTCATCAGAGAGGTTCTTGTAAAAGTGCTTCTTAATGATTTCCTTAGTAGTCTACAATTGGACTGACATGTTGTGTTCACAAGTAAAAATGCTAAGGGGGGCACTATACAAAGAAAGTTAAAGGTCTTAGATGTCCTTTTTGTTTTTAACAGAATCATCAAAAATAAAGACAGCCTCTCAGGATTGATAATGGTAAAGTAAGAAGCTGCTGTTTTGCACCAACACAGTCTACTTGGCTCATAGAAGTTCAGCATTCTTGGATGGTGTGAGTTAGCTTTATTTTTTTTTTTCCTCATCAGGGAAACTGATAGATTAAATAGTTTGGGGAATTTTCCCAAGGTCTAATGTCTTTAAGTTGAGCTATTAAACAGAGCATTGAAGTTTATGAACTAAGGCATTACCCATGAGAGCCAAAGTTACTCCTCTGAAAGAAGGAAAAGCCGTGCTAACTTGGATCATAAAAATAACTGAATTTTAAAATATAGCAAATGTAACACTTTTGCTTTCCCATAAAAAGTTGAATTTACCTTTTTAATTCGTTCTTTTGCATGCCTGATAGATTTCTGTATAACAACCATGAAGTATGCTTGCCCACTGCAATCCAGAATGTTTTCCAGACCTCAGTCCTTGCTGTCGTTCAGCAGGCAAGCAGTGACCTATAGGTAGATCGCACCTGAGGCAGTCCAGGAACAGCCAGGGGACGTTTTCTCACACTTGGTTGTGAACTGTCAGGTCAGTGTCTAATTCTAGTGTTCCTACTTTAAGAAAACAATAAAAATTCACAAAATACATGTAATTGAATCAGGTGGCAGATGGACAGAAAAAAATAAATATGCATAACTTTGTTATGCCCCTAAATTTTTTTTTTTTTTTTGAGAAATGTTTTGTTTTTTTATTTTATAGGAACACTGTTGAAATGCAATTCAGTTCTAGTTCAAGTCAGGCACTGCCTGCAACCTGAAGGGAACGTTTGGGGGTAGAAAGATGAGGCATGATTTAAACATTTCAGGAGTTCATGGGCCAATGTAAAAGTAAAAGCTAGAGCGTCACATTGTTTTTCAAAGTATATCTCATGATTTGTGGACCTCATTTCATTTGTTGAATGAAATCTTCTTATAAATGAACAGTAATATTGCCATGCCATGTGAAGCCCTTTGACATTACCAGGAAACTACTTTAAATCACCAAAAAGCTTTAACATCAAATACTTCTAGAAAGAGGGGACCTGGCGAAAAGACCTTCCATCTCTATATTTAACCTGCAAGGTATCCCCTGAGAAAGGAACTAGTCTGGAAGAGAAGTTTACACATTTCTTAATACTCTAGGTTTGTAGATTACAGAATTGATTTAAATAAAAACAGTTCTTATGTCATGAATTATATCATCTATTGTCTCATAAACAACACATTCATTATCTTAGCTGACAAAATCAGCTACCATTCAATGAACCAAGTCAATAATAACTCGGGTACCCAATACCAAAATTAAATCTGATAAAGCTGAGAATCCAGAAAGAAACACACACATACTGAGTAAGTGATAAAAGTGACATTTCAGATCAGTAAGGAAAGAATGGATTATTCAGCAAATAGTACTAAGACAGCATAAGCATTTGGGAAAAAATAATTTTAGATCCCTAATTCACAAAAATTAATTCCAGCAGGACTCACGCTTTTTGATCACATACACATATTTAGAAATATCCCTATGAAAATGTACGAAAGCAAGTTTTACAAGTAGGTTGTGAAGAGATAAGGGGATAGCCAAATAAGGGGAATGCACATTAAAACACGAGAGGCTGTCTCAGATCCAATTGGCAAAATATTTAAAATATAAATCAAGAGTGTGAGGAAACAGCATTCCTGCCTTACCAGTGAGCATATAAATTAGCACAGCCACTTCTAAAGACAACTGAGTGGTATCCATTACAGTTTTAAATTCACATGCCCTATGACCCAGTATTTCTAATTAAATTTTAATGAAACACACTTTACACACTTTTATTCATAATGTAGCTTCTACAGTGATGTCGGTTGTTCCTTTGGTTGTAACTATAAAACTGGAGAAACCAAAATATGCATCTAGGGAATAGAGCATGGTACATCTTATACATGGTACATGTTATAGATCATTAGGCATCAGTGAAAAAGAATTGAGAGTCCTTCATGCACTGACATGGAAAGATCTCTTAAGATACAATGTTAAGTTTTTTAAAAGTTTAGGGGAAAATAGAAGGATAATACATGAAATACACGTGGTACCACTGTTGTTAAAACACATACCACACCCATTCACACAAATACTGTATAGTGTACATCTTAAGTACCTAATTGTGTATTATAAAAATGTATAGAGAAGGTCTGGAAGGGTACTAACCAAACTGTTCACAGTAGTTTGGTGGAGTGCATTAGCTTTACCTGTAATGTTTGATGTTTTTGAGTATGCTTTCATGTATTGTTTGTGTAATGGACCAATTAATAAATTAGAAATAAAATAAAATAGAAGATGTTTTCTTCTTGTCTGTTGCTAAAGTCTCTCCTGGTGCTTTGGATCTTATCCTCAACCTTGCTCCCCACAATTGCTTTCCCCTCAGTTTTCTCCTATTTCTTTTCCTTGGCTCTCTCCTCTGGCTTCATGGCATCAGTATTTACACAGGCTCAAGTCGGTAAACAAACGATAAGTAACCACTCTTCCCCAACTAGGCATGTGCCTCCTCCACTTGCCCTTACTGTTCCTTCTGCCTTTCTGCTGCTTTCTCTCCCATTCACTGCATGCCACACACAATCTGGTTGGGGTCCCGCTGGGACCCCAGACCATTTTTGTCAAGATCACCAGTGGTCATTTTGCTACTAATTCCTTTCAATGCATTTCATTCTTATCTTATTGAACTCTTTTACCTAACTTCAGCTTCTTATCATTTGTTTAGCCCAGTAGATAACTATCTACTATCTCTTCATTTTCCTCCTTTTCATTTTTGTAGGGGTTTCTCTTGTAATATGTGTGTGTGTGTATACAAAGTTGAATTTTTTTAACCCAGTCTATCTTTCGGGTGTCGGGGAAGGCAGCCCGCTTGGCTTGCAGGATCTTAGTTCCCGACCAGGGATTGAATCCGGGCTCTCTGCAGTGGAAATGAAGAGTCCTAACCACTGAACCCCCAGGGAACTCCCCAATCTCTCTCTCTCTCTCTCTCTCTCTAGATATATATATATATATATATATTTCTTTTTTAGTAGAACAAGAAGTTTATTACTCCCACTCAGTAAAAAATATGGAATGCTTCACGAATTTGCGTGTCATCCTTGTGCAGGGGCCATGCTAATCTCTGTATTGTTCCAATTTTTAGTCTATGTGCTGCCGAAGCGAGCACCCCAATCTATATTTTAATAGATTAATTAGCTGTTTCCATCTATTATCATCACTGGCACTTTTAGATATGTTTCTGCCATCTTGTTTTGTGTTTTCTCCTTGAAATGTTTTCTAGATTCCCCCCCCACACACAGACTTTTTCCCTTTTATTGCCTTTTGTTTTCTTATTCATTTTTATCTCTTCTAAGGGTTGGGAAGTTATACATTCCATGTCCATTCTTCCAGGGGTTTATCTTACAGGTTTTATCATTTTGTTGTGGAAATTTTCAATTATGTACAAAAGTAAACAGCATAATGAATTTCTGTGTACCTATCATTCAGCTTAAACCGTTATCTAATCTTCAATTGTTTATACTTGTGCCCCATTTCCCCCATGGACCTCTGGATTATACTGAAAGAAATTCAAGATACCATAACACTTCATATATTTTTAAAATAAAACATCTTTATAAGGTTTCTTTTAAAAAATAACTATACTATTATTCCACTACAAAAGTAACAATAATTCCTTAATATCATTAAAAAATAGTCAATGTCTATGTTCCCCTGTTTATCTTAAATTTTTTTCATAGCGCATTTGTTTGAATTTGAATCAAAATAATGTCCATATGTTGCAAATGGTTGGCATGCTTCTTAAGTCTCTTTTAATCTACAGATTCCTCACTCCCCTCTTTCCCTCTTGAGATTAAAAATCAGAGTTGCTTGTCCAACAACTTTCCCAAGTTTTCCTGATTACATTCTTGTAGAGTCACTGATCCCTGCATTTCCTGTAAATTAGTTAGATCTAGGAGCTTGATCAGATCTGGGTTCGTATCTTGTCAAGATGAATTCGTAAGTAGTGGTGTGTACTCCATCACATGAGGTCTGGCTGTCCCTACTCTGTGATTTTGGCAGCACTGATAAGCGTTACCTAGACCCATTAACCTATTGGCTCTCATTCCTTCTCACTCATTAGCAAAACACTTTCTCTAGAGAGAAAATTACCCTTTTTAATTATTCAGTGACCTTGAAAAGGTGAAAGTGAAGTTGCTCAGCCGTGTCCGATTATTTGCGACCCCGTGGGGCCTACCAGGCTCCTCCGTCCATGGGATTCTCCAGGCAAGAGTACTGGAGTGGGGTGCCATTTCCTTCTCCAGGAGATCTTGGCGACCCAGGGGTTGAACCCGGGTCTCCCGCATTGCAGGCGGACGCCTTACCGTCTGAGCCAGCAGGGAAGTCATGGCAGCCTTGAGGTACAGTTCATATAAGGAGGTCAGGGACTTAATTCTTCCCTTTGATTTCTCAGTTTTCAGAATAATAAGTTGAGTATCTAGAAAGAAATAAAAAGTAAATGAGTGATTGGGGAAGACTTCCTTGACATTTTATTCTGAGAAGAAGCGAGAATAAAGTGAGCTGATCTGGGATGATATATTTCAGGGGCTGGTAGGGAGACACCAGGAAATCATAACTCCCAAAAAGCTGAGGTTGGGAAATGGCAACCTGAAAACTTGTCTTTACTGCTGAGTCTGGGAGTAACTTGTGAGTCAAAGTACCCCGAGGGAACAGAGACAGGAAGCCCGGTTCCGGGCAGCATGGGGTCCGGGTCAGAGCGGCATACACCGCCAGAGAAAGCAGGTCAGGGCGCCCTGAGGACCCAGGGAGTGGAGAAGAGTTACACAAACGAGCCCTGGATTACTGTGCGCTTAGTCTATGCCAAACGGAGACTGGAAATACTCTCCTGACAGGCTGACAGCAAACCAGGAAGTTTACTAAGAAACACAGCCTGGGATGGGTAACGTTTAGCTCATGCAGCATTACTTCTAGCAAGGCAAAAAAATCAACAACATGTGTTCTGTTTATTGCCTTTGTTGACCATGTATTGACTCTTCACAAGGATCCGTTTATTATTCTTCTGGTCTTGCCCTGGACACAAGAAGAGACTTCAGTATCGAGGCATGAGCTTAAGTACCCTCTGGTAACCACTCCTCTCATCCTCCTGTCTTCGGCCAGCCACCCTCTCGCCCTGTCCTCTCCCCTCTCCCCACCCCACTCTGCCCGGTTGACTGTCCTTGGTAACCGCTCTTTGGGAAAGATTGAGAAGGAACCTCTTCCCAGAAATACCAGCGTCTTTTTAAAGGGGACTCTTGAAGGCTACCCCATCCTGCTCTCCAGAGAGAATGAGCAAGTAAAAATGGCACCAGCTGCGGAAACACGGCCAACCCCTGGCTTCCAGTGACCTTGAGTTCCAAACCTGTGAGTTTTGGCTTTTTCCCTGCCTTCAGCTTCCTGAACCCGTCCAGCTCAGCATTAGGTAATCGCTGCGATTGATGGCTGACTCATCTGGGAATGCAGTTTTCCTGGAGGTTTGCTTTGCTCAGATAATCACACCTTGGGGGGTTGGGGGTGGGGTGGGGACGGCGTGGTGGAGAACAAAAACTGGTTAACAGAGGCTTCTACCCCTGGGTATTCAAGAATGTTGCTGGCACAGGGTGGGGAATCTTGGGGGGAGAAAGAGAATAGACATCCGTGTTCTGGAACCCACTTGTGGGATAGAAAGTTGTTAGTTAGTCAGTAAGTCATGTCCAACCCTCCTGCGGCCCCATGGGCTGTATAGCCCACCAGGCTCCTCTGC